GAGGACTTTCGCCTTGCACACTCGGCTGCTAACCACAGCCTCTCTGTGCACCACCAGCGTCTCCAAGGGAGAAAGATGATGTGTTCCCGTGAAGAATTCAAAATGCTGTCATCGAGTGGATTCCGACTCATAGTAACACGAGGCAATAAGGCACAGCTGCCCCAGTGGGCAGTGGTAACGCTTTCCGGAGTATTAAGTGTGGTCTTTCTCCTGCAGAGCGGCTGGTGGGTTTGAACTGCTTGCCTGATGATTAGCACCCACCATGTAGCCACTGGTTTCAGAAACCCATAGGGGTGGTTCTGCTCCATCCAACAGGGTCACTATGAGTCGGAAGCACCTTGATGGCGATGAGTCTGCTTTGTTTGTGTGTTTGTTTTTTTTAAGTCTCCCTTGGTCCATTTGTTCAAGGAGAATAACTGTCCCAATCCTGGTTGCTCTCACTGAATAACAAGATGGGTGGCTTAATAGGGAATACAGGGGTGGGGGCGGATGATAGGGAGGGGAAAGGGGATTTTGGGGGTAAAGAATGAAGATGGGAGGGGAGAGGGAGCATTAGGATGGATTGTGATTGCATCACTTGTCCTCAAGGCAATTTAACCATGGGAGTGGGGGATGCTCTAAAATAGATGCCCGGGTGATTGTACAATTCTCCTTGAGACGATGGACTGATTGAACTATCGAAGTATATGATATGTAAATTTCTTGCCCATAAAACTGTTGGGCGGACAAAAAAGATGTATGGCTTCAGACAGTTAGAAGTAGCCACGTTATTCATCGGGAAAAGGTGAAAACTGCCGCAAGGAGGCCTGCGAAGCAGAAGACGGGTAAACATCGCATGCCAGAGCCATGCGACGGGGCAGTCATCAGAGAATGCCGGTCCCCGTGGATGATGCGTGCCGTGACGCGGATGCGCCTCACATTATGCTGCTGAGGGGGATCAAACGCACAAGCAGAACAAGTACTTTGGGGTCTCCCTTGTTGTTGTTGTGCGCTATCGAGTTGGTTCCGACGCATAGCGACTGCAGGGCCAACAGAAGGAAATACGGCCCAGTCCTGCAGTCGCCTCACCACTGTTCTGAGGTGTGAGCCATCCTGTCAGGACCTTCCTTCAGCTCGCGCCCCTTCTACCAAGCATGGTGTGAGCCGTCTAGACGAGACCAAGGCATTGAAACAACTGGTGGGGGGAGGGCGGAGAAGTGTGGAGTTGCCACTGAAGGGGCGGCTAGTGTTTGCTTGGGGTGATGAAAACCATGGGGAAATGGGTAGTGGCCGTGATGGACAGTACGGCGTCCAGGATTGTAGGGTGAGAAAAGCAGTGAAATGGTACATCGTATGCTGTGGGCTGCCATCGAGTTGATTCCAGCCCATGGCAACACGCTGGGCTGCAGGGTGAACCTGCTCCACAGGGGGCTGATGGCTGTCATCTGGGTGGGAGTGTAGTGGGTGACGCCGCTGGGCTGATAACCCAAAAGGTCAGCAGTTCGAAACCACCAGCCACTCTGAGGGAGAAAGATGAGGCTTTCTATGTCCGTCAAGGCTTACAGTCCCAGAAACCCACAGAAGTCTTACCCTGCCCAGCAGGGCCGTGGTAAGTTAGGGTCAACACGATGGCAGCGAGTTCGTCTTGATGGAATCAGATCGCCAGGGCTTATTTGGCCCTGTACTTTTGGGTAGCTTTTGAAACTACCCAAGCTGAAAGAGGTTGGTCAAAGCACTAACCTTTTTTTTTGTTTTTTAATCATTTTATTAAGGGTTCATACAACTCTT